CCCCAAAACCCCAAAACCCCAAAACCCCTTGATCTCCAGCATGTTTGGAATAAAATTAATTGTGAAAATTCACAAATGGAAGTAGAAGAACCAACTGTCTCACAAAGCCAAGCTGTGAAGAAATCAGGTACAGAAAACAAAGCTCTAGTTTGTGACTGTTTGTAGCAGGGATAGTTCTTGTGTGCATTTTTAAACATAAGATGCTTTCTTATGCATCAAGAAGCTTCTGGAAGTGCCGAAACAAACAAAATCTAACATTTATTAGAAAATATAAAGGAAGCACTAGATCAAATGAAATGCTTTTACCTTAAAATTTAGTCCTTGTTTGGTTTGCATATCTGCATTAGAACTATGTTCTCTCCATTGAGGATCGCCTCAGCCATGATTGGCCCTAGATACGAGTTTAGTCCCATTTTGAAGTTGCGATACCCTTAATTTCCTAATTTTGCTTTAGCTCCAATGAGTAAAGGACAAAAGCTCAAAAGAAAGTAAGCAAATGTGTTAATATTCAACTCTCGGTCTTTTTAAGGGATTAAAGATGAAGGAACGACTCGTCTCGCTAATTTTGAAGGGCTATCATTCTAATCTTAGCATCACTTGCATCAAGAATATCCTCTATAGTTTAATTAAATCTTTCTTTGATAGTTAATCATTCTGCTATTATTAAACTGAAGAGCAAGACCAATTTTAGCTATGATATTTATGCTGAAATTATCTGTGTAGATTAGCTTATGACTCAACTTCTGACTCTTGACTACTAGAAGAGAAGAACAGATTCAACAAGAATCCTCCAACTTCGATGCTCAGATATGAGAATACCTCCACTCTAAAGTGAAAGGTACTGAGATCAAGCTTGAGCCTGACAAAACCCTTACCTTGTTTCTGAATCAAGACAAGTAAGCAAAGAGTATTGACTGTTTTAGTGACTGGAAGCTGCTGAAACAGTTTTCCAAAATGAAGATACCCAGAGTTTCCAGCATTATCCTGCATAATGCTCCTTTGACAAAGAAGCATTTCATCAAGTTTGTTGTGAACTCAGTGCCGATTGCGATGAAGAGGCTCCATATCACTGGAGCCCCACATAGACTTGAGACCGAGTATTCCAACTTGCTTGTTCATCCAAAAATGGCTACAGCAAATAGCCTCTCATTGAACTGTTTCAAGAGGTAAGCTCAGTCTGACTCTATAGTTTGAACGATAAGCAATTGAAGAGACTTTTCAAAACCAATAGACATAAGGAGTCTTTAGCAATCAACAGTTCCACATTTTCACTGTCAGAGGAGTCAGACTTCTCAGATTGCTTCAGAGATGCTACTCTACAGAGGCTCAACTTTTGTTTCTCCAAGATGGATGGAGACAATGACTTCAACTCAGAGGTTCATTGCTTAGACAGCCTGGTATGTGCTTTGTCGAAGTCCCCAGACCTGCACAGAAGTATTGAGGAGATCTTCATTAGCAGCGTCAACTCTTCCCACAAATTGAACAAAGAGACTCTGAATAAATACGGATTTGAGTTTGAATAAAAATTTCAAAATTAACTTCTTTATTTAGGAATACATATGGGTTATTCGGGAGAATGGACTACACTAGATTTAGATTTTAGTTGGAGATTATCTTGCGTAATACATCTGGACAATAAACCCTCTAAACTTGTGAAGATAGGAAATTCTTGGGGCTTCAATTATTAGCTAATTTTGGATAAACAATTGGGACTTCTGGTTTAGTAATTTTATATTAAAAAAAGCGACTAATATCAACAGAATCACTGAATAGATAACTAGCTGGGAGTCATTGGTACTAATAACACATTTTCCATAACTTTTATATTAAGAAACAGCACAAAACTTGACCTTTGCATTTTAGACATAATAATATTTCAGGGTTTTGTACACTATGGTGGAATCGAATACTTAGTCGTGCTCATATCCATCTCCTCTAACAGCCATATTTGAATATTAAGCCATTAGAGTGATGATTAATGCCTTAGTCTAACAATTAAAGTTTTGATCTCTTGGTTGCATAACTATCCAAGATGATCTACTAAACTTTAAGGACTCTATTAACATCTAATTTGCCAAGAGTACTTCAAGACATCGGATAATCAGCTTTGTATCGATCTACGATCACCCAAATGTGTATCCCTGGATGGACTTGCTGGTGAACCTTGCTATATCTAAATATCATGGGGTTTTAAGGAAGAGGAAAGACATCATTTAATAATAGGAGGATTTAATATTCTATTTTCAACCAGACTCTCTCTTCCTGGGGTTTTGGGGTTTTGGGGTTTTGGGG